ACTGAGAGAAGTTTCCATACTATAATAAAATGAAACGTTAAATGTACATGAACAACATAAATAGTTTTTCTTGTTTTATTTATTTTAAACCAATAGTCTTTTAAATACTTGCCTTTTTGTGAATATGTCTTTATATTTAAAGTCTGTTGTAGTTATCCTGAGGAAATTTATATAATTAATTATAATTATTTTATGTCTTTTTTCTTTTCAGTGTAACAAAATGTCTAATTAAATAAAAAAGTACCAAAAATTGTGGTAAATAAATAATTATTTATATAATTACATATAGTAGTTTACAATAAGGAATGCACAATGTATCCGCTATGTACAGTGCAAAAAGAAAATGTTTTTAACGAGAATCCAAATATTAAAATCAGTAATAAATAGTTTAACAATGAACAGAAACAGGAATAATTAATTAGAGTTACTAGGTTTCTTCATTCCTTATAAAATTTACATAAGCTCTAGTTTCGAAAAGTAATTCCAATCTACAGACCGATGAAAAAAAATCGTACTGTCAGAGGCACCAATTCCAAAGCAATAAGAACAGAGGACATTCTTTCCCTTTACAATTTAATATAATACAGCTTTTACTTGAAATTCATTTAAAATTCCAAAGGAGTTGTCTCATATAAAAAATATTATAACAGAACAACAATGTAAAAAGCGTACAAACCACTTAGCTTAAATATGTACAATAAACTAAGCTTGGCAACCGAATAATTAAATGTTTCAGGAAACAAGATATTTAAATCATGTTTTATTCTCTGATATTAAGTAATCAGTTACTTTTGACATTAAAAAATACAAGGTGTGTTCAAAAATAAAGGACTTTTTAAAAATAAGAACAACAAAGAGTCTTTTTGGCAAAACCGATTTATTTTATTGACAATAGTCTCCTTCGGGATGTCGGTACAACCCTTTTGGATGGCTTCTGCATCCACAAAACGCTTTCATTTCATTGGCAAATGCATTTTTCCGAAAAGGTAAAAGTTGCACGTTGCCAAACCAGGCGAATACAGGAAGTGGTCGATAGTTAAAATGCGATTTTTAGTAAAAAAAATCAGTCACAAGTGTCGATGGACGCATTATCGTGCAACAAACGCCAACATTATTTTATTAGAACACTGACAGCTAACCAAAGCCTTCCTCAATTCTTGTATTGTATTGTATTGTATTGTATTGTATTGTATTGTATTGTATTGTATTGTATTTATTTGTTACAATACACATCTGTTTAATCAAAAACCACTTAAGATGTTCTAAATACATTTAATATACTTACTTCATAAAATTTAAAATTGCTTTGCTTTATAATGTGTAACAGAATATTAAGTCAAAATTCCCAGTGTATACTTCGCGTGCATATCTGATCCAACATAAAAAGATCTTTTCCATGCGACATTTACATCGATTTTTAATAAATCTGATATGATTGTGTTAGAGGGATACGAATTACTAGATTTTTTCCATTACGAAAACAATAATTTCTACATTATTTGAATTATGGATCGGTGTGAGTAACGCAAAATGACATCAGGTGGTAGGTAAATGATTTGAAATTTGTGTACGATTACTATTATACCTCAATTACAGAAGTGAAACATAAAATATTTTGTACAAAGTACCCAACGGGTAAGTGGTTTGATTCCAGTATTCAATCAGGCCTCCGAAATTATGTCAGACATATCGTTTTTCTACACTTAAAAAAAGCAAACAATTTTTTAAATCAGGTTATTGCCTCCTTGACCTTTCAGATGTAATGTAATTCTTCAGAACATGGAGAACAAATCGATATTTTAAATTTGCAATAAAATGTGTGACTCTTCTAAAGAAAATTACTTTATTAACTTGGAGCAAAACAATGCCAATAATTAAGCTGCTGATAGAACATCAAAAAAATACATACGTCAAACATGAATTTTTTATCAAATTCTGGCCAAGGCTATTTAAAAAAATATTGAAATATATTGAACAGAAATTTGGTACGCCTGATGGATTGATCCTGCATGCACACACCTGATAACAAATCTATACTTTAAATATTTATAAAATTTGTTATTTATAATAAACGTCAAATTGTCGACAAACTGTTGCACTAATGGTATTGTAGGAACAACTATTCCTCAACTAGCATCGAACTGCATATAAATATCAATAGAAATACACTTTCACTTCGTCTCCATGAAGGAGCAAACCACGACCACCAACGAACACCATCTCGAAACGTTTAATTTATGTATAACCAGCTAACGCCCTTATAAACTAATTAAGGGCAATCTAAAAGTATCAGAACGGCGCCTTTATCTTTTCTTGTTCAACAACTTGGAGGCTGGTTTACCGCAAGGGTTGTTTTACGAGCAACAGGTGGTGTTTAAAGACACTTTTTATTACACTCGTGTGACGCTCTCGACATTCTGCTTTGCCGTTCTCCGTATTCCGCTGATATGATATTTCAATATTGAACAATAATAAAACGGGGCTGTGACAGGGACAACTTTATTGTTTATACGGCGTGTTTTACGGCGACCCTAATCGTGTTCGATCATTCCTTTACAGGGACGTTTAATGTCGGACGACACTTCGGCACTCGATATGGTTACGGGATTTTGCAGTCCGCATGAGGCCGACCGACAGTTTCCTTTTCGCAGTCTTTATTGGGTTCTCCCTCTTTATCATTTCATATACCTATGAATTACGATCAGTTCTTCATTACTCATCGTGGTCACAAATTGGTGATGGGTGATTTGAGATCTCGGAAACTGTAAGAGATAGGAAGACGGTTCAATGGAGGAAAAGTGCTAGACTGTTCTCTTACCAATTTAATGGTGCTCACATTTTTCAAATTGATGAAAACATTCTTTATCTGCTCATTGTTTTTAAGGAGGTAAGTGGATTTTATCATAGAAGTGAAAATTATTATGGACAACGGGAGGTAAGTGAGAAAACTTACCTTCCTAGGGAAAAAAGCAATTTCGATTATATATGCATATTTTATAAACAAATAAATAGAAATATTTGATGAACATTACGTTTTATTAATTATTATGAAGGACTATTTGTAGTAATTGTACAGTTATTACATTATAACATTTATAAAATCTGGATAATTATTCCCTTCGTGTTTACTAATTGTCACATTTTTCTCCAACTGATTTGACCGCTCCATTTCAGTAACCGGAGGTTCAATATTATCTGACTGATTAAAACAGCATGATGCGACGTACTACTAGAACCTGGAGTTGAAGTGTCATTGTAAAGAATCCTGTTGATTATTTCATTTTTGTTACTTAAACTGTCAGCAACATAACTTTCTGCAACTGTGGCTGATTTCCACCCACCATGTCTCTTGATTGCTAATACATCAACTCCTGTATTAGCCAGTAACGTTGCCGATGTTCTTCGGAATGAATGGCCTGTTTATGTTTCGGGATGTTCTAGTTTCAAAAACTGTGCAATCTCATTAAGAATAATAGAGGGGGTATTCTTGCCGACTGATTGTAACATCTACCTGCTCGATAGCGCATAAAAAGCGTGAAATTTCAGTTTTAAATTCCAATATAATCTTGATATATTTCTTGAGAATTTCTAGGTGAGAAACAGAACTCATACGAGAAGTAATTGTAAACGTACCTACATACCATTTTTAGAATCTGGAATTGTAACTATACTAATGTCACCGAAATTTTTGAAATTGACGTAGCATTTGCTGCACTTTCTATTTGAAAATCATTGATTTAGAAATAATAATTCAAAACCAGCAAAATTGCAACTTTTATATAACTTTGTTTATAAACACATTAGAAACGACAAAATCCAAACCACCAAGGCGACTTTGCAAGATTTCGAATAATGTCAAAATTAATTGATTGAGAAATGTCAAAAAATAATACCTAATCTTTATTTCATGAACCATAACGAACTGTGGGAGCAGATAAAATGTTATACACCACGCAGCAGTTAAGTATTATTTACCTCCTTTATGGTGTAAATAACTATTAACTAAATTGTATTCTGTGAGTTGTTGACGTTCGATCACATGCTTTATTGGGTTCGCAGAGCTCCTATAGTGAAATCCGCCTTAGGTTTTGACAATTACTCTCTCTGTTTTTTACCTATCTTTGGACTGCCGCCGAGTGAAACAAACGGTCGAATTGTAGTCTGACGTGGTATTTTGGTTTTGTCTTGCGGTTCCTCAATTCCATAATATCCGGAAAGCTTTCGAAACTAAGGTAAATTTTCTATTTTTGCGACTGCTCGGTCTACAGCATTTGCCTTCGACGGTGTCGTCTGCTCCAGCTTTAATGTTTGGGGGCGGTGGAAGCCTCTTAGAAAACTTAATGGAAGGAATTTCCACGCTGCACCTTCTACTTCTTGTGGAGGGTAGTTTGGGAGTTGCCTAGAATGACTGGAGACCACCTCGTGGTTCTGATTGGAAAGTTGGTCGAATTTCTGGTATCGAATTCGAAACATGGACGACTTTAGATGCTCGTTACATCTGACGCAACAAGAATTGTCAACAACCCACCTCCTCAGTATCGAGGCTTCGGTACCAGAAGGACCAATAAAGAGGTGGGTATACTTATCTATCCTTACAATGATTCCTGCTTCATATAAATCACCCTGTACATCTTTCCTTAATAATTAACGAAAACTGAACGATTTTTTTTTGTTTTGAGTAAAAGCATGTTGTGTTAAGTATTACAGGTGCTATGTAGAAATATATCTGGCACAGTTAAGTGTGTATAAAATACTGTTTCACGAAAGATAATTATTGAAAGCTTTCCGTACTCGTTAACGTTAATATTTAAATTACGGCCAGTAATCTCGAGTTTACAATGTTTACTTCGCAGCTCATCTCGGCATCACCTTACCCTCGCACCTACAGAAACCGTGTATTTATAACTAAGTGGAACCGGGCTCCTGAAGTGAGCCGGCTTGAGACTCCTCAAAACTTTTGATCCTCTATTTCGGTCAGTTAATTTTCAGTTTTGCGCTAATCTTGTTCGGTCTCTATTCGGCGGATTCACGTCGAGCTGCAGCCGCCGCTAAGCAGATTAGTGCCCCTGACACGATACAAACGGACTGTGGATATGCACGCCTCTTTCCGTCGAGTAAACAATTCGGCCGCTATTTATATTCGAAACTAAAATAAATACAGTGAGTGAAACCGCTGGTTTAATGAAACGCTCTTAGGAATGTGAATATTTTATAAATAGTGGGTAGCGTTTAATTTTGCGTACGCATCTCGAGCCCGCTCCGGAATCATATTCATATTGCACTTTATGTGTTTGTTTTTGTTATTTTATGTTTCATAGTCACGATACAGCGATTTATTTACAAAGCACTTCCCGAGGCATATTAAATGTCCGATATACAGGGTGTCCACGGTCTAATCTACTGTCGTAGCCCTGTGGTCTTCGCGGTTTCTACTCTTATCCATAGTAGAGTCTAAGCTGACATTTGAGTACTGTTTAGAACACAAAACATAATGCACGAAGGTCGTTTTCATTGTATAGTGTAATTCATAAATTATAGTCCAGTCACTGAAGGCGAATATAAGGTAAAAGTTCCGATTTTTTTCGGATAGCATGGATTTTCCTGAAAATTTGCATACAAGCTCATCTGACCCCCCACTTCAAAAGTTATATTGTCTAGGTGTGTGCTTTTTTTCTATTTGTGGGTGAACACTACCCTTGTACGAAAAAAATGCGAAAATCGTAGCTCTACGTATTTTAAAGATTCAATTCATGTTCAAATATGTTGGATAAAGTAATAGCACACATCGGCACTATATAACTTTTGTTTCTTGGGCTATTCCCTAGCTACAGATCAAATTTCATGTCAATCCATTTGCTTCAGTGACTGGACTATTATATTTTTAACATTTTATATAGGGAAAAAGGCAAAGAGTTGTAAGAAATTTTATTGCGATATCAAAGAAACATATAAAAAGTCAATTGACTGTTGCGTTTCGAAAAACACCCTGTATATTTATCATTCTTTTTTTATTATAATGATGTATACATGTCATATATTTATTTTGATAGTTTGCATAATATTGTGGTGTAGTTACTAACCTTCCGCAATGGATAGTCAAGATTGCCATGGAAACAATACATATTTATGCTTTTCCTCTATTACATTTATTAAATAGATCTTTAAATTTTTTTGTTTTGGAAAATTCTATACTACAAACGGTATTTTATAATAACTTCATTAGTTTTAGACAAAGGACATTTTTTGAGTAAATTTTTCATATAAAGAGTTAACTTCATGATCCGCATGACCAATTTCAATCTCAATAAAGTTCTTTTTATGGGGGATTCTGTAAGATAAAGTAAGCAAAGAAAGATCTAATAATTTGTATGATCTGAGGGAGAAAATATTAAACGAAGTTAGCCAATAAGATTTAACACCTGGTTACCCACAAGGTATTAAAAAAATCTTGTACAAGGAAAATGAGGAATGCCTGACAATAAAATATCGACCATATAGGCAAGAATGTACTAACAAGATAATCCTCTTCATAAAAAAATACAATATTAATACCGTCGATGCTACTTCAAGAAAAGTTGAAGCAGCCAGTTCCCAGACGACCAAATACAAGCACCATTCCATATATTCCACAAAATGAACAAACGGCGAGATGGCATAATGTCAAAGGAATACAAGTGTCGCTCAAAGAATATCAACCTAGAGATAATGGTAGTTGGCGAGAAGAAATAGAAATTCAGGAAAATTTCAGTTCAGTTCATGGAATTTTAAAACAACCCATCCACAGAGAGTAAAAACCTAAACATCTTAGTGACTTTAAACCATGAACTGAGACAATAATAAGTCGATGCACAAAAGAAATACACACTCCAGCCAGAGAACTTAATCTATAGTTTCAGAAGTTTCTTTTAAAGAAAATAGTAGGAACATAAAAAAATCTATAATGACGTAGCAATGAAATTGTTTATCCCTAGATATATGCCGACATATGATAATAGACCTTTATAATGTCAACACACAAATTTAAACACATTGTACCTCTTTTATTACACTTTTTTAGATATCAAATGATTTATTTTGCCACTGTGAAAAAATAATTACTGTAATACATCCATGTGCCAAAAGGATTATTCAAGGATTTTTTATATTAAAATAGTTTTACCTCAACAAAAATCACACAGTGAAAAAAAAACAGGCAGATAAAATAATAAAGTGAATGATATAATGATGTGTATTTTTTATTTATGTGTTTTTTTAGTGTGGGTTTGTTGGTTAGTTTGCAGGTGGCCAAATACCCAAATACACAGAGAAGAAAATTTTTTTAAGATATTTGTTCGTAGGATTTTTTTGCCAAAATCAAATTCTCTAAAACCTATTTTGATTATTTAGTGTGACACCATCATTAGACAGTTATTATTATTTTCTAAATTTAGCGCAGGCAGAGTGCCATCAAATTTTTTTTGTACTTTTGAATAATCACTTGATATCGCACTTAAAATCCATTTAGTTTGTTATTAATAAAAAAAAAAACATAGGTAATATTTGATCTACTTATTATAATTTTTAGTATCTCAAGTAAATTACATACTATTTTTAACAAGGCTGACAATTTATCAACAGCTTTCGTGCTTACAGCTTTAAAGTTTTTTTATTATATCGCACCTTTTATCGACTAATCTTTTTATTTATAATGCTAAACCATTATCGTCTTCATATTTATGTGAAAATATATTATTTTGCAATATAATTGGCCAGTAACGATAACTTCTATATGAAAATAACTTCGTCCTTTTTTTTACAGAAGAAAAAACACGAGTAACAAGCTCAAGATTTTTCTGACTGAATTCTAAAAATAACTAGGTATAAAACTAATGAAAAAATTGTATTTTATTGTCGACAAATGTTATTAAAATTGCTTAGTGTATTTGTTTTGATTTTTATACAGGGTGAATCAACTAACTATGCTGACATGAAAATCTCGGAAATGATAAGAGATACAATGTTCGTTAAATTACGAAATAAAAAGGACTATTCGAAAATGAAATTTGGTTTCGACAAAAATATACAAAAATATTAAGTGCGAATTTTAGTCAAATTATGAATAAAGTACCCAAAGATTCACGTCATCCAAATAATCATACGCATTAAAAATAATTTAGGTACTTACCAAAAAGCAAAGTTCAGTAATTTTTAAACGCACAAGTACAAAACAAACTACATCATATCCTCAAAATGTCCACCACCATTTTCCATGCACGCACGACACCTTCGAATCCAATTTTCGCACACTCGCTAGAAAACACCTCAAGAAAAGGAAAGGAAAATGCAATGTAAAATGAAATGGAATGTAAAAACACTCAGATACGGTCCAATTCCAGATACCAAATGAATTGCGTATTGCTGGACAGCTTAATACCTCGTGTTATCCGCCGCGCCGTTGTCACATTGCTCGATATGAATTTTATCGAATTTTAAATTTATTACAACGCTAATTATTTTTTAGAATTAAGTATGAAGAAGTTCAAAAAAGTGATAAACATTGTATTTTATGATATTGTATGTATGCAGTCAATATTGTTTAATTAATCGAACTTTTGTACATCAAGTTGGAGATTTTGATATTTTTTTTCACGGAAATGGTTGAGTTTAGGACCTATGAAGGTTTTTTTGTTTATTTTAATTTATTCTATCGTCTGTTGAGATTAAGGCAGTCAAACTTTCTAACACCCTGTATAATAGACAACTAACACCAACACTTTATGTGTTTGAACTCATAACTAACTAATTACTTTCTTTTACAGATCCGGAACCACCAACAAAATTTCAATAGCAATTCCAAAAATTCGATAGGGTAAGTTTTTCTTCACATTAATTTACGTTCTATTATTATTATTCAAAGAATAGGTTAAACTCGTCAGTTTTTTATTGGAGAGGAACACACACAGGACCAAGAATTTTAAATGGAAAGATGGGTGAATTATAAAATTTTCTGTGAAATTGAAATTTCACAATTTCAAAAGAAATAAAAATTCGCAAAGTCAATCAGTCAATTTATATGCAGAACATTAAACTGAAATTTTAAAAAATCCCAATGTTCTCTGCTCACGTAACATGTTCAGTAAACAATTTTGTGGTAAACACGGAAGCGGTTCTATTCTTTTCATACCTGGTGCGATATATTTAGAACTTTTTGATTAGAGTTGAATAAATCATGACTTCTAGAGAAAGCCGTAATGTGATTATTTTTAACATTCAAAACAGTGAAGTTAAGTGCATTCCACTCATTTCCATCGATTAAAATGCGATCGGAATGTGTATAACATCTGAATTTTTTAAGCTAAATATTATCAGAAAAGAGCAAAGAATGTCCGTTCATCAAAACTTACGAAAGTATGTTTGGAAATATGAATAAAAATTTTATTTGAAAACAATCGGTGCAGAAATAGATTGGTATTAGAGCAATACCAAAGAATTGCTGAGCGATAAAATTATATAGGCAATATATTTGTGAAACAAATTTTATTTCAGGAAAAAGTATGCTTAAAGGTGCAATATATTCAACTATAAATTTAAACGTTCGCTGGGATCTATTTTAAAACTTTAAATGACATGACAATTTTTCAGTAACTAATTTAAGAGATCACGAAGCATATGGTTGCCTCACAACAACCAGAATTCTGAACAATGACTTCTTTCAAAACAATACGGGAAAGTAATTTAAAAAAGTATAAAATACCATTTTTTTTCGTTCAGAAAGTATTGGTCTCCATTTCCATCTACAGAAGAATATAAGTTAAACAATCTCATTAGATACTAATTAATAACTTGTCTATGGAGTTGAATATTGAATGGCTTGTTTTTGTTTATGTTACAGAATTATTTAGAGTACCAAGTTGTTATCTTTTCAGGGTTAACTTAGCCTGTGTGTGAAACGTTATCATTATCTAACTTTTGTAAACACTTCCTTATATGGTCATATTTGGCAAAAAGCAAACTGATAGGATAGGAACGCGCAAGGAAACGCCCCTGCGAACGGAACAAAACTGAATGTCCGGGAAGCAACTGCATCATTCAATTGATAAAACAACCATAGCCGTTTGGCTTTTATTATCATTATTATTGTTATTATTGTTTTGATAGAAAAGTAGTGAACAGGTTGCTAGGGCTGACAATATGTTTCTATTTTATAACTTGTATAACAGCTCCCATACTTTAGTGTTCGAACTTGTAAATACTATTTACTGTCAATTAAAATTACGTTTTTTTAGGAATACAGTTGCGATTTTTCAAATATACAGAGTGTCCCAGAATATGTGAGCAATCTCTCGGATGGGGACGTTAAAATAACAAGTTCCTATAAAAAATTTCCTATAGATTTTCCGTAGGTGGTAATAGTTTAAATAATTATATGCATTTCACAGGGTCTAACGACACTTACAGTGTACGATAATTCAATAAACAAAGAAATCTAAATAAAAAATGTAGATAAATTTGGAACGAATACACTGAAGATGAATTGTTTGAAACAAAACGTCTGAATCTGGTTCGGGCTGCCGCAGTACAGTATTGGGGGTCATGAAAGATTGCAAAAAATGTAATAAAATTTCAAGGGTAGTATTTAAAAAATGAAGTTGATGATGGTCCTGGAGAGACGAAACGCTACATACAAAATTTGATTATGCCATTCGATAGAGGGCAAAAAGTGGCTACGAGAAAGTGTTCTTTTTTTTCAATATCGCCTCAAACAAGGCTGAAATGAAACGGACACGGATTTCCAAAATTTCGTTTTTTTTTCAAATATTTCGAAAATTAATCATGTTAGCCTTGATTTTTTAGAGGCATAATGTTGGTCCCCTGTTTACGCAACTTTACCCCCATTTAAGCTACTTCGTACCTCTTACCGTTTCCGAGATCCCTGTAACGGCCGGTATTAGAATGTAATGTTTGTAAATTCTCAGGACATTACGTGGTTTTCAGTTATTTGTGTTTTCACGTTCTGTTTGTTTCAAGTACTCGAGCCTTCCCCCGCGTAAATAGAGGCGGAAACCGCCTCGTTCCATCAATATATCATTTGCCTACAAGCGCGAAAACTAAAAATAAAATCGGTTTGTTTTCCCAAGACCAGCAGCGACTTCCATCCCATCAGATAGGAAAACATTCCAGAAAGGATTAAAGAGATTACGAGACGTGCCAGTCTCCTAGTATTTGCGCATCAAATGTTTGCGGGGGGAAGAAAAATATGGCCGAAGTGAGAGCTATTACCCTGAAATATTCATGTTCGTGTCTGTGTCGAGTATCCGATGGATGTAAAGTGGTTGTTCAGTAAATTCCGTAATGGCGGGCTCGCGCGCGGCAAATTTTATGCACGCCCCTGCCGCCGCTTTCGACACTCTCCCAAATCCCCCGCGCGTGTCGCTCCTTGTCATGATTTGCTTTCATCACGCATCCGGTCGCTTGATCTCTTTTGCTACATTGTTTTTTCAACAACTGGCCGGGTTTATTGCGTCATTTTTTCCGGGCCGGATGCGCCGTAACGTACGATGTTTACGAAAAATAGACATTATAAATCAAATTCGTACGCGCTAGATCCGAATCTGCTACTTAGGTACCGCCGAACGGCTTACGCTTCAATGAAATATTCATTTTATTGAGATGACAGCTGCGCGGATTCTTTCCTTGACGAAATGGAGAAAAATGTGCCTGCACATTTGGCCCGAATGGATCCAGGATAAACAATTGGCTTGTGGAATTTAAAGAACGGCTACATATTTTATTTATTCAGATACCTCTCTGCGATCTCATTTCAATAATATCCTTCTAAAACATATTACAGGTCGTAGACCACTAAAACGCCTCAATTTTTGGTTCTGAAACAATTTTCTAACAAATTTTCTCCCAATTTCGTTTAATTAAACTCTTAATTAAGAGTGGCACTCATTTTCCCAATTTTCTTTCAAATTAGAAATGTAGTCGTGACAACTCATTAAATAAGTTTTAATTCATCAATATAAAATATACCCACAGATATCGCTTTGTGTATCTGTTATTTTATTTGGAATAGGTCGGAAGAGATACGAATAAAAATAATAGTCCGATCAATGACCATTTTCCCGTATAATTTTGCCAAACAGCACCGATTTTCATAACCCCTTCTCCATGGATATATTCTAAAAGTGTAAATTTTTTAAGAAACCACTTTTTCAGACGGTTTTTCGCGAATAACTCAAAAAGTATTTTATCAAAAAAATCATTCTTATAAAAAATGTAGCTTATAAAAAAACAAAGAATGGTGTGTTTATGGTGTCTGTAGACCCAATACAAGCGGAGTAATAGCTTGTTGAAGGTTGGTTCTTATTTTTGTCAAACGCCAAAATTGAAAGTTTGAACGTGAAATTACCAAAAACCAATGCATTTTTCGGGGAATACACATAGAACCTTTTTTAAAGTGCTTGAAAAAACCTTTGATTTTATTTTTTATAAAAGTCCCTAGCTAAGCGAGTTATGACGAAAATAAAGCTGGTCCGTATTTTTTTCGACGACAAAAAACGTGAAAATTGCCCCCTAATTATTAACGATTATTTTCAATTGTGGGATAAGAATTAAGTAATATAAATATAATAACTTGTTCACGCCCTTTCAGCTCAAACCCTTACAAAAATATGGGCTGAAAGAAAATTTAACTTATTTGATCTTATAGCCCTTGAAAAAAACTACAAAATGGTGTTTTCAAGGGCTTGATAGCATGAAAACTAAGCGAGTTATGGGTAAAAACTCAATCACATATTTTTGAAGATATCAGAACACTTATATTGAAGCATTGATGAATACACATTATAGCTATATTTTAGGAATAGAATAGAAGAGGAAGACGAGAGTGAAGAGGATTTTTTATTATTTATATGTTATTTGCAATAAAAAAAATTTTTGTTATAAAAATAAAAAAATTAAAATCCATATACGAGTAAAAATAAAATTCTTATTTTCCCTATTTTTGATTGCAAATTTTAATCAGTAGGGTTTTTTAAGGTTTCATAAAATAAATACATTACATTTTAAATAATAAAATGATTGTATTATATTTTGAACTAAAAAAAATTTTAAATTGTTATTCGATTTTTTTGCAAGGGGTGGTTTTTATAAGCGTTGAAACTTATAAAAAAAATAATAAAAGATTAAAACAGTAAAGAAACCTTAATTTAATATCACTATATGATTAAATTATTCCAAGTTACTGAATAATATTTTTCAACATTATTTTTTTTAATGATTACTGTCATAGGGGTGGTTTTTAGGGATTGACAATTTTCAATTCATCATAATTACTTATTTAAAGATGATTTCAACCTATTACACGCTCGAATCTACAATTCTACAATTTTTTCGAATAGGAATAGTTTTCACCCCTAAAAAATAAAAAGCAAACCCCGGCACAGGGTCAACTTTGAAGTAGAGGGTAAGTAGAACTTAAATCCAAATTTTGGTGCAAATTGTCTAATAGTAGTTGACTTTGCAACTCCTGACAGTGTTCAGTAACTGATACTTCGCAAAACAGCTTATTACAACTAAGCTGAGAATCATCTCAGAATCAAATCAATTCAGATCATTAATAAAGTACAAGAGAAACGGGGGCCCCAAATTGGACCCTTGAGGAACACCCGCGGTTGTTGTAAAAGTATGAGAACTGTGATCCAAAATACGTAACATATTGCTTTCTTTCAATGGGAAATTGTGAAGTAATTCCGTTGGACCAGCTTATTTTATTCAACATTTAAATGTGCCTATGAAAAATACGATTAGGCGATAGTTTTCGAATGTGCAAATAAATATGAAATAGTTACTTGCTCAAGTTTT